ATTCATTCATTCATACATTTATACATTCATACATTTATACATTCATACATTTATACATTTATACATTCATACATTCATACATTCATACATTCATACATTCATACATTCATACATTCATTCATTCATACATTCATACATTCATACATTTATACATTCATACATTTATACATTCATACATTTATACATTTATACATTCATACATTCATACATTCATACATACATTTATACATTCATACATTCATTCATTCATACATTCATACATTTATACATTCATACATTTATACATTCATACATTTATACATTTATACATTTATACATTCATACATTCGTACATTCGTACATTCGTTCATTCATTCATTCATTCATTCATTCATTCATTCATTCATTCATTCATTCATTCATTCATTCATTCATACATTCATTCAGCCATTCATTCATTCATTCATTCACGGATGTTATCGTTTATAAAAAGCACATCTGTTTTCAATACAAGATAAAAGGTGCAGTGATGTGTACCGGGATGTTGACTGTGTAGGAGTGTATACGACGTCAATAGGTTCCGTTTCAAATACAATATCAAAATAAACAAAATTACATGAGTTGAAATACAATTTTACGTCAGCAAAAATCGCCATGGTTAGGTAAGGAAATTGCAGTCGAGATTATAAAAACGGACGTCGTATACCTTGACTGCAAAAGGCAATTTTTTGTATCATGGAAGTTAGTCAATGCAGCGATTTGATTGGATTGTACGTTACCGAATGCAACCAATCAGAGTCCTCGAAACAACGTCTGTAAAAAATAAACCTTAATGTTTACAGTCTTTATGCCAAGGGCTCTGATTGGCTGTATTCCCTAGCGTACAATCCAATCAAATCACTGCATTACATGACACAAGAAAGAGAGTAATTGCGGTCAAGATACGAAAGTACGAAATTCGTAATAGAATAACATTGCGAAGATACTTTAACACAGAATTATATACTTTTTTTTTAATATTCGAACATCATTCTTGTTTTTTTTTTTGCAAAATGTCAATACAGCGAGTTTTTAAGATATTTCAAGAAAATCGACACATGCTGCAACCCACAACGTGCACTGGACCTAGTGAATGAAAAAAATTAAAATTTCGTAAACAAAAACACTTACTTTCATAAGACATGGTTCAATTCTTGCCACTTCGGACCCAAATCTTTAGATACAGGCGTATAGTATATGAGCTAAAAATGACTGTTATCCATTAACTGTAATGGTATTTCAATAGTTGAATTATCATGATATATATATCCAAAACAACATAGTGATTGCATCATGCTAGACAGTCGTATTTTATAAAGCGACATCAAAATGACAAAGCTAAACTTAAAGTAACGCGTTATTCCTTTTTTTAAAAAAATTATATTAATTCCTCGTGTTATAGTCTTGAACATTCCAGACAGACGGGATTTAATTCACGTGAAGTGACTTGGCTTAAAAGATTTGTTAAGTGACAAATTTAAAATTCCCCGTAATCCTTTTTAAAACAGTATTTGTTTAGGGAGAGTGAAGTATTGTATAATTGGTTTGACATAACATGACATAGTTAAAACGCAAGTGCATGCTGACAAAGCCAAACTTAAAATTACCCGTAACTCTTTTTAAAACACTATTTGTTTAGGAAAAGTGAAGTATTTCATAATTGGTTTGACATAATATGACATAGTAGAACTGTAATTGAATGATGACAAAGCTAAACTTTGAATTACCCGTAACCCGTTTGAAAACATTGATTGTCATTCCTCTTGTTTTATTGTCTTGAACCTTCTAGACAACCATAATTCATGGAGCAACAGGACATGACTACCCGTAATACTTTTGCATATTTGAATCATTATTGATAGGCATTAGAGGCTAATATCTTTAATTTCCTTCATTGCACACTTTTGACACCGCTACTCCAATATGAATGAACAAAAACGTTTAAGATTGCAAACTCATTTATCAAGATATTCATTTTTGAAGTCTTAAGCAGACTAAAAACGGTCAGATATCGCAAAGAGAATCGGATTATAGTTAGAGCATTCGGACTATAACACAGGTGTGTATAGAGTATATCAATCAGATTGCTAGTTATTCATTGATATTGTAACTGTAATGTTATTGAAATAATAAGGAACATATTGCATAGGTTAATAAGTCAAACTGATCAATACTGATTTCATCATTAAATTAGTCGTCTTCTCAAATCAAAGCATTCGGCAATCCTCGGTAGTTTCCGTAAAGCTGTTTAACTTTCACGGCAGACAGTATCGTATGGAATCAAAGAGTTCGTCTTCCTGAAGCCTGTCCCGAAGTTTGTACGTGCCTTCCCAGTCACTGTGCCCAAGTTACGCCATGGCAATGAGTCATTGATCAAAAATATATTGAGTATACAGTATACAAGGGCCCCAATAACAAAATGCCGCCAAACAGTCCACACTCATAGTAAAGCTGCTGAGAGTTGCCGGATGCCGAATCAGCTGGTGTCAACATTTAAATGGGCACGTTCACCATCCGTTCAGTCAATATTAGCTTTAAAAAGGAAATGAATGGAGTTTTACGTCTGTACCTAACTGGGCTAATGAATACAGACATCATGCAGTGCGCAATGAGAGAAATTTTTGAAATAGCCTTCTGAATTTTCACTTGTTGAGAGATCGTTAACGTGCGCAGTCTGTAGCACCCCGGGTCCCTATAATATTATCTTAGTTAAGTTAAGCAAATCAGAAAAAGTGTTCACAGCTTACCGTTGAAATTTAAGCATTGTTATAAATACGTATCCATAATTATTCACGTTTGAAAGTAACATTGACGACTCGCCTTTTTTAGTCTCTTTGCCATACAGAAGTGCATTGAAGAAAGCAATAGAAAGTGAAATTTCTAGTTAGAGGTTTATTTGTAATTTCGAGTACTTCCCAAGAATCCTTAAAAAAATATTAAGGCCCATCACTAAAAACTGCCTATTGTTGAGCTTTAAGACGATGTTCAGAAATTTTAAATTTACCTGCAAGATATATTTTAAGCCAGAGAGAAAAAAATTCCTGTCGTCACCCAAAGCAATTTGACAATGTGATAATAACGACTACATGAGCTGCTGTTAGGACATAGAATTTATGCATATAAGATTCGCGTCTGGATGATCTAATTTTCATTGGGAGCTTTAGCGGCGCGTTAATCGTGAAAAATTAAAAAAAATTGATATGGATGGAGTTTTACGTCCTACGCTTCTGCACCTAATTGGGCTAATTATGACGGATCAATCATGAAGGTAAACATTAAAAATGGCAAAAAATTGTCGACATTAATTTTAAATGGGTCAAGCTATTACGAGCTTCGTCACAAAGCTAACTGTTACAGTCAATGTATAAGACGAAGTTCGTAATAATTTTAGATTGTGACTTATCTAGTTGAGCCACAGAAAAAGGCAGTATTACTTTGGAGTTACTCGAAACGTCTCTATTTCACTCAATGGCAGAAAGTTTTAAATGACATTCGAAACGGTCCGTTAAGCATTATATGCGTGTTATTCAAACTATTGGGTATATTTAACGATGCATGCAGCACGATACGCATCTATTTTGTTCATAGTACACAATTTAAAGGGGAACAGTCGGCATTTTTGAGGATTGATTTGGGTCTTGATTGTGTTTTAATAGTCTTAAGAAGTACTAAAACGCACAAAAATCGCATAATCCCTTCAAATATACCTCAAACTTGAAATTTCACTGTCTATTCCTATATATGTGTTTTCTATATATGGCATAGTCTCACTAAAATTCGAGTTGAATTTTCAACTTTCAAACGTGAATAATTTTGGATACACATGGATTTGAAGACTCAAATTTCGACGATGAGCTGTAAACACTATTACTGATTATGTTAGCTTAAAAAAAATACTGTTTCTGAAACTAGGGTATGATTGGTTGAACGGATAGTGAAGGTGTTCCTTTAAGTGTGAAGAATTGAGAGAAATATTACGCAGAAGGTCTTAATAGTTGTTTTGTAACTTTTTTTTATTCATTCAATTGTGTTAACCCTGAAGAAAAATATTTTGCGTTTAAAAGATAACTGTGTCGAAAAAAAAAATTCATGCATCAGGAATTTCATTGAAAATTAAGAATTGTGTTATATGTTATTAGTCTTCCGTGATCTGACGAAATTTGAAGATCAAAAACAAATTTTAAGTTCAACGCCATGCAGGGTTCAAGCACAGCGGCATTATCTTGCTCTTTTGTGATTTCCAACTGTCAAGGGATTTTTAACGTGCACAGCGAGTCGCACATGGGGTCTCCCATCCACACGACCATCACTGCATCAGGGAAAACGGGTTAAAAAATCCGGAGGTATCTCAACCCATGCGGGGATTGAACCCCGGACCTTCGGGTTAGCGAGCAAGCGTCTATCTCATTGAGCCACCACGACTCCCTGTTTATTATCCAAGAGGAAGTAGCCTATATGTTTAAATATTTAAGTGACCTTTAAATCGAGAGCATGAAAAAATTCATCAGATCACGGACGACTAAGAACTCATAACACAATACTGAACATCTAGTTTTAAATTTAATAAAATCATGATGCCTGAATGATCACACACCACCTTTGAAATTTGAAACTTCATCATGAGGGTCCACCTTTGAAAGTTAAAGGGGCTGTTTGCAAAATTTGATTTTCATTATTAAAAACGCGGCAAATTATACCTGAAAATATTTCTAAAATATGCTATTTATATCTATGTGTCATATGAATAACTTATGTACTTAATTTTGGTTTATTGAAAACGAAGTGCACTAATTGTTAATTACGCCTATAGTTTCGGCTTTTTAAGTATAATACCCCTTTAAAATGACGACTCGTCTTTTCTTGAGACAGACTGAGTAATATATAAAAATAGAAAGTGAAATTTCCAGTTTGAAGTATTTTTGAAGGAATTATGTGATTTTCGTACATTTCTAGTAGGCTACTTCTGAAGACTATGTTCATATATTCAAGACTAAAATCAACCCCCAAAATGTCACATCTATCCCTTTAAATGCGAGTCGATATTGTTTCTTTTGAAACAAGCAACCTCTGCCCCCTCCCCCTTATGGCTCCGCCACTGTGAAAACTACATGCTTTGTCGCCATTAGATGATAATTGGACTATTCTAGTGATGGATCTTGCTCCTGTTCGGAGAGTTGTCTACTTTGCTCGCTCATTCACCAAATCGGTTATATTATAAAGTACCGGTACCTCCATTCTTTAAACTAGCTCTCCTGATGAGGATTTTATATCAGAAACACGCGGTAATAGTAGTGGCGGGTATCACGCGCGAACCAGACCATGCCTACTTTTTTCGATACACCTGATGGTACTGCTCTTTGGAGGAATGCACTACTTTCGATTAACGGAATCGTCTTGCTTGTGCGAATTTTTATTCTTATATTACAAAGCACCTCCATTCTTAACACTAGCTGTCCTGATGAAGAATATATATACGAAACATGTTTCGACGGCATGAGATAATTACTATCTATAGTTTAATAATGGTAATATATTTGTATAGTCAATAAATCAATTGTAGTCCGACTTTCAATTTAGGAGTTGCGTCCCTTCATTTTACTCTTTTATTGAACGCCCTGACTTCAGCACGTGGTGTCCCCTTGTAACTTCCTTTTCACTATTACTCTTCTAAGAGGTACAACATGCCTTTACTAAATTCTAAATATCCCCATTTGTGATTCATAGAAATTCATAAAAGTTTGTGAAATCCCTAACAAGATATTTTTGAGACTTTGCGTTCTCTCATTTTGTCTCAAACACCCCTCAAAAGACGAATATTTCATGAAAAGTTCTGCCTGAATTGCACCCATGCTGGATTCCAAGATGGCAGCCCCCACATCATAACAATATAACCATGAATACAATCTCTCGCTCATTTTCTGTATTGTGTAATTTGTGACTGCGGGTTGCTACAATTGTCATGCGTGATCAGACGAAATTCTTCTTTGAATCATGTTCAGTAGAACTTTATCTGATGATCAAGTCAAAATCCATGACCATTGACACTGATCTGAAGCATTTATTTTTGACATTAAATGCCTTTGAATTCCTTACACAAAGCAGCAAAACTTTTATTGAGCAGAGCATTTGATTGGAAGAATACGATACCATAACAGAACATTATATGCATACCAATTTCGTCAGATCATGGATGAGGAATAAAGTCAGCCAATACGTACAATGCGAAACATCATACCTGTCGTTGGCTATCGTCCATATTAATGCCTTTTGCTTTCTATAAATCTTAAGGTTTCGCTTGTGGACTACATCAATTTATCTGATGATTATGATAACCATATTTTATTTCCAATTCATGGTTCATTGTCGGATAAAACAATCGCATAATTGGTTTATCTACCATCTCACAATGTCAAGGTATAACCAAGTTCGTACTTATACCTTGACTGTAATAGCCACTATTCTTTATTTTGTTTTTATTCTTGTAGACAAAATGGCCACGGAAGTAGTTGAAGAAATGGTCCCAGTGCCTGCTACAACTGCAGATGAACCTGAAATTAAGTTATTTGGAAAATGGACATCCGATGATGTTCAAGTTAGTGACATCAGTTTAACTGTAAGTGTTCTTTAATAATTTAATTCTGAAAAGGGACACAGATGGCTGGAATTTAGCTGTCTGCAATTATACAATTTCAACCTTGTGGTTTTATAGGGAAGATATTTAGACACTTGCATAAGAGAATACTGAAATGGAAAATTTTTTAAAAAATCTTGTCATTCCAATTGCTGCTGTGTGCTTCAGGTTTTCCAGTTGAACCTTCGTCAGTTGTAAATAGAAAAAAATAATAGCTTTAGCATCTGACAAGGCTGAATTTTCCCCATTGCCAACTGCATGGCGCTGCCACCCTTCTTAGCCCAAACCCGTGCAAAAAAGAAGCTTGTACAGCCCCAGGCTTACTTTTCGAAACACCTGATGGTACTTCTGTTTGGAGGAGTCCACTACTATACAACTTTTACTTCCGATTTTGCAATTCTTTGGACGAGATTTTTGATTTGAAGAAATTGTCTTGCTTGTGCAGATTTTTATTACAGCCCAAACAGGTGTAGAAAATTAAAACACCATTTCAATTCATTTCAGGATTACATTGCCGTAAAAGAGAAATTTGCCAAGTACATGCCTCATTCAGCTGGTAGATGGCAACTTCGACGATTCCGTAAAGCTCAGTGCCCCATTGTAGAAAGAACAGTCTGTTCCCTCATGATGCACGGCCGAAACAACGGAAAGAAATTGATGGCTGTCAGAATTTTAAAACACACTTTAGAAATCATCCACTTACTGACTGGAGAGGTAAAGAAATTCAAATTTTGGGTTAAAATTTATGTGTGATTTTATCCCTGTCTGTGATATAAGTTCAAGTGGAAATTTCCCTCCTTGCACACTGCATGCAGTAGTCTGTCTTCATCAGCCCAATGAGGAGCAGAAAAGTAGGATGTAAAACTCCATTACGAAAATTTTATACTATTACATTTGAACTAGGAAAATTAATTTAAGTTTTCAGTAATTTTTTGAGGGCTTAAAAATCATATTTTTTCACACCACCTTTAAAGCTGTCATGGTCAGTTTATGAATATTGAGATTCGTCAAATGAGATCAGTAAATTTATCTCAAAATGTGTGAGGATTAATATTATTCCTTGACCTGCTAATGGTGAAATTAAACCTGTCCATATATAATGCCTCTTGCTTTCTGTAAGTCTTGAGGTTTCGCTTGTGGACTAAATTAATCTATTTGGTGCTTCTAAACTTGCCATGTGATATTTATTGAGCATGGTTTAGGCACCTTTTAGAACATTTCTATGATGAAAATATTACTGATTTATATATTTTTGCTTCATTTATTTCTGTGGGTTACTTCACTCATTCTTTTATAAGTGAAATAATACTTGACAACGTAGTCTGTTGACAAACCCAGTTGCAGAGTGACCTACGTTTCAAAAGACTGAGCATCATGTGACCTGCCTTGCAAGCTACTGCCATGGTACTTCACGGTAGAGCTTGGATGAAAATTTTGTGGTTAAAATTGCTAGTTAAAACTATATATTTCTTTTAATTTGCAGAATCCTCTCCAAGTGTTAGTCAATGCTATAATCAACAGTGGACCCCGAGAAGATTCCACACGTATTGGACGTGCTGGTACAGTCAGACGACAGGCTGTAGACGTGTCACCATTAAGACGTGTTGATCAGGCTATATGGTTACTATGTACCGGAGCCAGAGAGGCTTCATTCAGAAATATCAAGTCTATTGCTGAATGTCTAGCTGATGAGTTGATCAATGCTGCCAAGGTAAGGAGTTGTGGTCTGAATCCCACTTTTACTTGGGATCAATTTACATAATAGTGGTCTGGCTTCCGTTTCCTTGATCTCCCATACAAAAAAAAACAATTTTTTTGGAAGATTTCTCTAAAGATCTTGTCATCAATTTTTTACATCATACATGCTGTAGCTTTGTAAAAGCATATTCTGCTGTCTCAAAGGGGATTGGCATCCAAAACTCCTGCTTCCTTACAAAGTTAATGTCTATATCAAGGCTGAGCATGTTCATGTCTCTCAGTTATAGTGGAATGTTTCGGTCCTGGCAAAATTTGCTCCATTGCTCACTGCATTACTTGCCTCATTCATATTCTTGTCAGTAAAGTCATTGAAGATAATAAGTTACTGCAACATGCCATTTATAAATGCTGTTTTAAGTTTCTAATGAACAAATTCTGTTTTACAGGGTTCATCCAATTCATATGCCATTAAAAAGAAGGATGAATTAGAGAGAGTGGCTAAATCTAACCGATAAACATGGAAAAAAATTCAGAATAAAATACTATTCACACTTGTGACTTTTTCTTTAGTTTGTGGATCATTGATGCAGTTCATTGTCCACTTTGTCCAATGAATTTATAATAGCTTTACCCATGTGTCTAGGTACACTGGCTTAATGTCCACGGTGTCAGTTAATTGTCCATGATACAAAAGCTCATTTTCCATGATGCCCAAGAACTCATAGCTTACTGTCCATAGTGCACAAAGAATATCCATGGAGCTGCCTATCCGTTGCGCTGCTGACTGTCTATTGCACTCATGAAGCTCCCTATCAATTGTGCCTCAAGGACTCAAAGTTAACTTCATGGTACCCAAGAAGCTCCCTATAGATTCCGCTCGTGATGCCGATTATTAATGGACCTTCCTTTCTTTTGTGCCCAAGAACTTGCAGCTGGCTGTCTATGGTGCTTAAGTAGCTCCCTATCCATTGTGCCCAAGGACTAGCAGCTGATTATCCATCGCTCCCAAGATGCTCCCTATTCATGAAGCTGAATATTCATGCCCCAAAGTAAGCCCTATCCGTTGTGCTCAAGGACTAGCAGCTGATTATCCATCACTCCCAAGATGCTGAGTATCCATGAAGCTGAATATCCATGCCCCAAAGAGAGTTCTATCCATTGTGCTCAAGGACTAGCAGATGGTTATCCATGGCTGAATAGCCATGTCGCCCAAAGGGTTCCCTATCAAATTGTGCCCCAATATTCTGTGTCAGGTTCCACAAAGGGTTTTGTTAAGTAGATTAGGAAAGTCAGGTGATCAAATTTATAAAACCAGTAACCAAAAGCTTGAGAGACATATATTATAATTTAATCAATATAAAACATGTACATAAAAACAACATAATCCTAATTCTTAATATACACAATTCATTCATTGATATCTATTATTATCCATTACAAATTATGACAAAAATCACCTTCACAACATCCAGCGATTACAACCTATAGCTTATCCCTTGACTACAATAGCCACCTTTCTTGTATCACAAAATTTTGTAAATGCAGTGATTTGATTGGATTGTATGCTAGAAAATACAGCCAATCAGAGGCCTCGACTTGAGGCATAATATTTACAGTCTTTCTGTATTGACTGGCGTATAATCCAATCCAATTACTGCATTCTGTGATACTAGGAAAGTGGCTGTTGTAGTCAAGGTATAAGCAGAAGCTCATAATAGCTTGACATTGTAAAGATGGACAAAGATGGACCTAAAATGTTCAAGGATGATTTGAAGGTGGAGAATTTATTTGCCCATTTGAGCTGGGGCACCAAAGAATCCTGAGCCTTGTTTATTGGCAGATCTTGAAGGAGCTAAACCCAGTAACTTCTGGATATTCTGAAAATAAATGAAAAATGGAGTTTAACACCCAATCTTTTCACATCATAAAGACATAACTATCTGATTAAAATGAGTTTTACATTGATATATTTTCCTTTTAGGAAGCCAATCTGATTATAATGCAGATTCACATTTTCTCTAAGGGTTTGTACACTCAGCACACAAATGATTTTTCCAAAAATAAAGCAAATATTTGGACCAACTGCTAAAGAAAAATGGCCAAACAAGCTAGTATATGAAAAAAACTTTAAATGGGTTTCCCAAATTACAGGCATTTTTTGCACTAAGAAGACCATTTGTTTAGAGAGTGATGGATATCTAATATAACGAACTAGCCAGTCAAAGACGAAGCCCCTACATGGCTAATTATTGCATAGTTCACAGTAATGGGGTGGCAGGAATCTACATACATACTGCCTTCAGACCTGTGAATAAATCACTTGGGGTAGGTTTTTCTACTTACTTGTCTAACAGACATTGTACATAAAATATAAAGGAATATAAAACTGCAATCTGTATAATCTTCACCGCCTAGATTTCGATGAGATATATTTTGTAATAAAGAAATTGGAGTAAAAGGTAACTTGGCCACAACACGTCCATCAAATCTGGAAAAATAATTTAATTCTGTTTAAAAAAAAAGCCTTCATTAAGAATACATGATAATTCATTAGAAACATCAATTAATCAAATAGTTTGCTTAACTGAACACTAAAATAGAAAGAAACCCATCTTTAAGTGGTTTATACAGCCATTTCAATAGTGCAATACTTACATGGAATTAAACATACTAAGAAGAGCTGTAAAAGCAAAACCAATAGCAAACATTGATTTCATTTTAACCTGAAAACGAAAAAAAAGCATTATGGAGAATGGAGAAGCTTTCATTTAATATCATTTAAGTCGTGTAAAGATTTTCAAGTAATGGTACTTAAAGATGGGTTACCTCATTTTTTAGTGTCAAATTAAGCAACCTTTTTGATGAATTGGTGTTTCTAATGAATTATCATGTATTCTTAATCATATCATTTTGTTCTTATTGCATATAATTAAAGAGTACTAATCATAAATGTCCATGTATGTACAGTCTGGATAAACAAAAAAAGACTTTTTGACCTTTCTTGATTGGGCTACTCAATGGAATTCTGCTGGTAATTCTCTTCTAATTTAGCTAATTATCGACATCTGAGACAAACTGATATTTTTCCAAGTCATTAGAACACCTCTACTTTCTATTCATATAAGTATTAGCATTTTCATTTTTATAAATAAAAATAAGGGAACCCATCTTTAAAGAGATCTGGTATTATCATGTAAGTATTTGGCTGGTAGAACGCTGCATATATTGAAATAGTTAATACTATTTGGTATACTTACAAAAGATAAATCTCTGTTGTTAGTTTTTAATTTTTCTTCTTGTCTTTCTGAAAAATAGAACAGATAGAATGATTACTGAGATTAAAAAAAAAAACCCAAAAAATACAACAATAAAAGTAAATTAAAAATCGATTGATTGACCAATTAAGTGGCTGAACTAATATACTTACCATATTTTTTCTTATTAGCAACATCTGCACCAGTTTCTTTTTGTTTCTCTACTATAAAATAAATGAAATAAATTGAACATAGTTCTCTCAATTCAAAAGTTAAAATAATTTGAGTTATTTCATAATCAGTTGTTTTAATTATGATCAGCAAAAATGGTCCCAAAATTTTGTTACTCAAATTTGAACTTACATTTTTTACTCTGTTTTTCAACTTCAGCCTTCAATTTCTTATATTTTTCTGTTCTGTAAACTAAAACCCATGTCAGACCTAGAAAATAAAAATAGAAAAGTTTCAATTTTCCTTATTTCAGGCTATGTTATGGAATAAGATTTGTTTCAAAAGAAACCAACTAGGCCTAGACTCTATTTTGATTAATTGAAGATAGTTGGCAATTCCAAGACACATATCTAATTTCAGATACCGGCGTCTGAATCTACAATTTACAGTCGCCTGTTTGGATCATTTGGGAAATATTCGGATAATTCAAAATCACCTTCTCCAAGCAAAGCTGTGCAAATAGAAATTGCAACAATTAGGACGCAATCGCCAAACATTTTCTTCTTTTTTGCCACGAATAAAAAAGTTTTGATGCTTCACTAATTTCACCGGAAATGAGCAAAAGTTACTTCCCCTTGGCTCACTAAGGCCGCTTACGAAACAAGCAAATAATTTCTTAAACCAAATTTGGGTTTGACATTCAAAATTAGTAACATATCTCATTTTATTAGAGAAAGGGGCTAAATAACGAAACAATCATTTCGAATTTCAATCTATATTGTAAATCCTTGTTTCTATTTTATTTTAAATGTTGTAAGCGGCAAGCATTTCTTGGGACTGTTTCTTTCAGAAATTTCAGATCAGTTATTTGTCTTGATTGTCAAGTCTCACTGTCTTGTAGGAAAGTAATTAAAGTCTGAATATTCGAGACTGATCGTTAAAGATTACATAAGAAAAGAAACAGGTCATAAAATGTCAACAAACAAGACAGAATGAAGATTATAGACATTTTTTCTAAAAAAATAATTGAAAGATCTTGTTAGATGACTTGATTTTAATAATTTAAAGATGGAGGCGACCGAACTACAAAGTCTGGCTGTCGTTGAGATCTTTGATATTGGGAAAACTCCAGAATTAATGAGGGTATGCTCGGAATTTGTGTTTGTTTTTACTTTTTCAGAAATTTGAGGAGGTGTCAACCCATAATTCTCCCTTTATGCTGTCAATATGACGAGATTAAGGGTAGGGCGTAATGTTTGAGGATCTGATTAACAGTCCTTTAAGTTTTATTCCATGAATCTTTGTTTGTGCTGATAGATTTGATGCAGGATAAGAAACTACCCATCAAGGGGGAGGAAAACATATGTGAATCCTTAAAAAACATTTTATTTATTCCAGCTGACAGTACCAAGTGTCTGTGATGAAGTGAAAGTAGATTTTATTATCAAAAAGATCTGTGAAATGAAAGGTAGGCTCAGTTTATCTGTGCTTAAGAGAAAAAAAAAATAATGAAATGAATGGAGTTTTACATCCTACTTTTCTGCACCATGTGGGCTAATGAAGACAGGAAACGCCATGCAGGATGTAATGAGGAAAATTTGGCAGGACACTGGCGTTAGCCTGCTCCTTATCGATTTCCATTTGTTGAGAAGTCTTTAACGTGCACAGCCTGTATCACACATGGTCTTCGCTTATTGTCCCATCTGAACTATTAAACGCTTTTTCCATGCTCAAGAGAAGCAGAATATGAAAATTCTTTAAGAGCACAGGGTTTAGCTCATGCATAAATAACAGCTCAAAGTTATTACAAACGGTTAAAAAAACTTCATGTGTTATACCGCCATCACCTGATGTTGAATCTCTATTCTGAAAAGTGACACTGATGGCCTAAATGTATTATAAATTGCGAAACAAATCCCTGACAGCTCCGAGTTAGCTTTATGATGCAATAAGCTATACAACATTGACAATCCATCAACATTAAATCAAACTATCAAATGTTGCATTATGCCAGGAATATTTTTCAGGTATTGACAGAAAACAGCAGAGATATTTTGGTCTGTTGCTAGGAGATGAAAAACCTCTTAAAAAGTTTAAATTTTCAGATGAATTACTGCTTCCAGTTAAAGGTCAGACTCATTATTCCTCCCAACATTTTATGGCAAGGCTTTGTTAGATAGTATAGTAACCTTATACCTCTCTGCTATTGAGTTTGTCAAGTGTGTGTCCTTTCGCACATGTAGTAATTATTTGATTAGCTGAATATTTTTATGACTTATAACAAAAACAATTTGGTCAGATCTTTGATAGTTAGTGAAGACAGTACAAAAGAAACCCACAAAACAAAACAATTTGTTTTTGATAATTTGAATATCAGATTAGATTAATCCCTCATTTCCTGAAAATTGTTTTATTATTTTTTGTACCTTCAGGTGTATATTTTAAAAAATGGTGTTTCTGTTTAAAAACAGAGAAGAGATTAATAAAAACTAACCCGGTTATTGCTCAATTATTCTTTCATCAAGCTCAACATGACATAAGCATTGGTGAGTTATTGCCCTTGTTAAGTTTTTAATATTAGAATGAGTGAGTGTTTGTCCTCTGCCTTGTTTCTTGATATAAACATTATTGCCCTTGTTCATTTGCCTTATGTTAGGATTGGTGAGTAATTGCCCTTTTTCATAAATGCATATCTTGATTTCTCAGACATTGACCTTGTTCATTAGATCACATTAACTTTTTTAGAGTTATTGCCCTTGGCCTATATTTCATTATTACACCTTTGTCTCTATAAGTAAGTATGAAAAAGTAATAACTATTTTTAGCTGCCTCACCAATAAAATGTTCAAATTTCTGTTTTTGTAGGTAGATTAAAGCCCACCCCTGATCAGTTAGCTAGTCTAGAAGGTAGGCAGGTTTTCATCTAATGAAAATATGGAAGAGCAGAGTGGAATATGAAAAACTGAATTTACATGCAACTGCTTTTGGCTTCCATATTTTATGAATTACTTTTGATATAGTTTACCTAATGACTTAATCTCTTGTCAAATAGCTTTTTTGTTAAAAAAGGATATTGAAATATGGCAGTCTTTGTGTTCCATATAAATTTATAAACAACATGAAGTTTTTCAAGATTCAGTCTGTTGAAGTTTTGGCATCGATGTTTTAGGTTTCAGAAAGATAGATCTTATTGTTCACTCGTGATGACATATTCTAATTTCTAAATTTTGCAAGTTGCATTTTGGCAATCTTTGGCCTCCATATAAACTTTTGGCTGGTAGGCAATCATTACAATTTATCATTTGTTTATTTGCAGATTGTTTAGATCCTGAGTTTTTAGCAGTAGAACAGTATTTATCTATTTGTCATACTATACCAGGCTACGATTCATTAACAGTTAACAGCTGTCAACTGGTAGACAATACAGCTAAAACTATAGTCAACGTAAGTACTATAAGCTAGTGGACAATACAGCTAAAACTATAGTCAACATAAGTACTATAAGCTAGTGGACAATACAGCTAAAACTATAGTCAACGTAAGTAATAACTAGTAGACAATACAGCTAAAACTATAGTCAACGTAAGTAATAACTAGTAGACAATACAGCTAAAACTATAGTCAACGTAAGTAATAACTAGTAGACAATACAGCTAAAACTATAGTCAACGTAAGTAATAACTAGTAGACAATACAGCTAAAACTATAGTCAACGTAAGTAATAACTAGTAGACAATACAGCTAAAACTATAGTCAACGTAAGTAATAACTAGTAGACAATACAGCTAAAACTATAGTCAACGTAAGTAATAACTAGTAGACAATACAGCTAAAACTATCTGATACACTTAAATAGTTTTGAAAACCTCATGACTTTTTTATAAATTCTGTTTCAGTTACCACAGACATCATATAGTGTAGATATATCTCAATATGGTTTAAAACTTATATCAGGTTAGTTTCCTTGTAAACGTCTAACTATATTAGCCTTGTGGACTCTCTGAAAGTGCTGCTGAATTGACAGACACAGTTGAAGAGTGTTTCTGTGAAGAGCATACCATATGTTTTGCTAGTTTTGTTTACTATCAAAAGTTAATATCCTTGCGGTCTCTCTGAAAGGACTTCTAAGTTGACAAACCTAAGTCTAGAATTACTCAGTCAGTAGTGAATTGGATTGCAAGGTGTCTGTTCGAATCCCTCTCAAGGTAAGAAAATTTCTGATGCCTGTACCAGTGCTTCCGAGGATGTCGGCTCTCACTACGTAAATTCTAAAATCTAAGTGATTTTATAGTGTTTCCCAAGTAATTCTTTGATTTTTCAATTTCTTTTTTTCAGAAGATACAAAAACAGAATTCAGTGTTCAGTGGTTTCAAGTGTTCAGTTTTCGTTTAGATCTAAGGGACAATACTCTTACATACTGTTTAGAATTAATACATCATAAACCTCAGACTTATCTCCCCTTAAAAAGTGAACAATGTGAATATATGCTGGCTGTTACCTTGGAGATGATCAATGATATTCAGGTAAGGTCAAGGTCAAGGCTGTTGATCATAAGCTTGTTTCATACAAGATGGCGCTAATGGTGAGTTCTGCTGTTCAGATTTCCTGGAATCAACAGGAAGTTTGCAATTTGAAACATGTTCAGAATGCATTTCGTGTGTGCAGAAAAATAGGTAGGATAGACAAAATTCAAAATGGCGGAGAGAGGAATAGAAGGGACAATTTTGAACGTGATACTGTTTGATTGACACCTATTCATTTGCTTAAGGACAATATTCCAAAGGTTCTTTGTGCTACAGACTGTTTTTCAAAGATCCCTCAACTGTTGGAATTTTTAAAAGGGGAACCTAATGCCACTGCTAATGCCCCATTGCACACTGCCTGATGTTGACTGTCATTGTAAGACCAAACTCTTGCGAAAAAGAACAGCATAAAACTCCATTTCATATTGAAATCAGATCAATTTGATTCGTACTTTTTTTTCAGGCTGATGATCCAAATGCTCCGTCATTTTACATCACGAATATTTCTAATCTACCAGATGGCAGCACTGAGTGGGAGAATATATTATTTAATTATCGCGGGAAGAGTAAGAAATAGACTGAAGATTTTTTATACAGCCGATTTTGTGATCTTTTTTAGAATTTTTTGTGACTCGTTTTGATGTTTGAAGGGAGTTAAGAGTCTTGGGCAATTATCCTTTGATCTCATAAGACGATATTTTGTCACTTGATTTGATCCAGTTGATTTTTTATTCGATATAGTGATTTTGAAGAAGTCGCTATTTTTAAATTGCCATGGCCACAAGATATGACCATCCGTAACTAACCCTAAAAAAGTCACTTGATAGCGTTCTTGACTATCAACATGGCTTCACTCTTGAGAAAAAAGTAACGCAGAGACGGAGTAACAATCCATTGCTCATGCACATCGTGAATGAAGCTTTCCGATTGGCTGCTAACAACAGGTTGGAAGGCTTAACCTCTGCGATGATGAGGAGAACAGTGACTCATTGGATCAAAGGGTAAGGCATGGAAGACACCTAGAACCTTTGTTAAAGGCATTGTAAAAGTTTTTGTAAACTTTTTTTGTGTATCAGGAACACTGATAGCATCAATTTGCACTGTTCCAATTTTCAATCAGACGTCCGTGGTTCTTGTAATTCTACCAAAAGTAAGCGTTTTATGACATCCCTGTTGCACAAGCTGCTATTGACGTCTTATAATACAAAGTTTTAGTGGAATTACAAGAACCACAGACGTCTGACTAACAATTGGAATGGTGCAAGTTGATGCTTTCAGTGTCCCCGATATATATACAATTTTTAAAGAACCTCTTTAAAATCCCTTTAAAGCAGGATATTTGTGACTGTGTTTTGGACAATATTTTTGTAATTTATAATAAGACAGAGAAGGTTGACTTTGTAAGTTATTTTTTAGGACATAGCTCATATTGTATATAATCGAAACTCTACAGCGAAACTATCTTTTTATTAGTATATCACTCTGCTATTGGGTTTTTCAACTCTTTATTTTCTATTGTAAATTTGAAAAAAGATCTCATGAAATATGGCATATTTATCGGGATGTGTTAATTTATTTCTATATATATTGTAAATGGTTACCATTTGATAGCAGTTACCAGTTGATAGCGGTTACAAGTTGATAGCTGTTACCAGTTGATAGCGGTTACCAGTTGATAGCGGTTACCAGTTGATAGCGGTTACTACTTTATAGCGGTTACCATTTGATAGCAGTTACCAGTTGATAGCAGTTACCCGTTGATAACGGTTACCAGTTGATAGCGGTTACCAGTTGATAGCGGTTACCAGTTAATAGTGGTTACCAGTGGCTCAACTAACTTGGGGACTGGTTGAATCAAGTCCACCAACCCTCAGTGAGCACCAATCATCAGGGGGCACCAACCCTCAGTGGGAACCAACCCTCAGTGGAAACCAACCCTCAGTGGAAACCAACCCTCAATGGGAACCAACCCTCAGTGGAAACCAACCCTCAGGGGCACCAACCCTCAGTGGGAACTAACCCCTAGGGGCTCACAACCCCAGAAAAAAATACAAAATACAAAATATAAAAATGAATGAAATAGCATTATCTACAGATTGAATTTTTTAAAATCTTCCAATAAAAGACTCTGAATTTACTTACAGAGAATCTCAGAATGTAGGAGAATGCACCAGGGGAGGTGCCCCAACCATCTTAAGTCCACGAGCCCCAACTCGTCTAGTTGAGACACTGGCAGTTACTGCTATAAGACTTGACCAAGATTTTTGCTTTGCTTGGACTATTCACTAGCTGTTTAAATCTGAAGACAACTTGAAGCAAAACCTTTAGATCTGTATTTTTTATGATATTGTGAAAATGGCTATTTCTGTTGGAATTTTATTAATCTCAGTTTTATATATATATTTTGCCATGTCGTACGACTCTAAAATTTGTTATGGAAAGTTGGATATTTTATTTTTATCAGAATTTCTTCTGAGTTAGTGACTGTTAGAAATTGATTATTTTTTTATAGAATAGATTTGATAAGGAATTTAGCTTCTTACTATGGTTGAAATTTTTTTTTTTTAAGAATTAGAATTTTTTTTTTAGAATTAAGAATTAGGATTTTTTTAAGAATTAGGATTTGGAATTAGGATTTTTTTTAAGAATTAGGATTTGGAATTAGGATTTTTTTAAGAATTAGAATTTTTTTTAAGAATTAGGATTTGGAATTAGAATTTTTTTAAGAATTAGAATTTTTTTTAAGAATTAGGATTTTTTTAAGAATTGGGATTTTTGTTGTTGATAATTACGATTATTTATAAAGAAATTCATGAATGGTTTTAGAAATCTGAAAAATTATAAAAGAAATTTAATTAATTTTCTAGAATTAATTGTTTAAATAGCTTTTGTTCAAAATGTGAAACATGCTAAGTAAATTCCAACTGTGAACAAAATGAACATTGTGCAATCTATGAAAGATATATAATTATTTAAGCATTATCAATTGTTTTTTTTTTTAAATATATTTCATTATTTTAAGTTAATGACATTGTTTTATATTATATTTGTGATGTATTAATATTTTATTTTTGAAGGATTGGCGTTACTGATTTTAAATTATATTATTGCCGAGATGGTGAATTTATTGCTGGTCTATGTATATTTAGAATTGATTTTGAAAAGAAACACTTTTGGCGTAAGACCATTAAAGGGACAGGTAGGCCATTTTTTTTGACCAATTGTACTTTAGTCTCAGAAAATGGAATTTTGTAGCTGAGTTAATCAGTAATAGTGTTCACAGCTCACTGTCGAAATTTAAGCCTTCAAATCCATGTGTGTCCAGAATTATCTGCGTTTGAATGTTAAAATGACGACTCATCAATTTAAGATACTCTGTGATATATAGAAATAGTGAGTAAAATTCCTAGTTCGAAGTATTTTTTAAAGGAATTATGTGATTTTCGTACATTTCTAGTACTTCTGAAGACTATTTACATATATGCAAGGTCAAAATCATCCCCCAAAATGGCACACCTGTCCCTTTAACTGTGGTATTTTATTTTTAATTATTTTATTACATGTATTAACATATTTATTTTAGTTTTTATTTTAATCCTTTAGTTTTTGTAGAGAAATACTAATTTTTGTAATTAAAAGATAGGGTTGTTTTGATATTTACTTTACAAGCTGAAAGAGATTAATTCAAGCTATCTGTATCACCTTTCAGAAAGAGAATCTGATATCAGTTACAATTTAGATCGTTATTTATATTTCTAAAAGCAATATCTGGGAATATGTGTGAGAATGTAAATAACCCTCTGAAATTGACTAAAGGCAGACTAACCCTGATGTCAGATTCAATTTTGAAAAGTGGTACGGTTAGCTAATTTTTAGCTCAATCAGCCAAGACAGCTAATATTTAGACGACTATACACCTTTAAGTTGATTTTGTAAATCAATTTGTATTTGTATTGAGTTGATTTGTACTTGTATTGAGTTGATTTGTATTGAGTTATTGTTTTGTTTTTGTATCAATAATATAGTTTTTATTATGATATTTATATATATATATATAAATATAAATGGTATTTTTTATATTTCATGATATTTTCATGCTTTCGATGTTTTGTATATATATTAATTACTGCTCTATTTTATAGTCAAGTAATGACATTTTGCTGGCTGGACTGTTCTGGACTGTTCTGGACTATTCTTTCAGAGGCTTGCTTATTCTGGACTACTGCGACCACTGAAGTCTAGACATACTGACTCTGACTGTACTCTATCAGAGGCTTGCTTGTTCTGGACTACTGTGACCGACTGAAGTCTAAAACAGGCGGACTCGGATTCTACTCTATAAGAAGCTGGACTGTTCTTGACTATCGTGACCGACTGAAGTTTAAAACAGTCGGACTCGGACTATCAAAGGCTGGATTATTCTGGACTATTGATGTATACTATGGATCTGTTGATGATGTTTATGTAGATATTAAATATACCTATCTTGAACTGAAACTAAGTATTATGTTGTATTTTTCTTTCTCTTCGTGCTGCCCAACAGAGTCCACATGGCCCATGGTTTACCTTGTGCAGAGACCCGTAATTACAATGCCCCCCACTCCCGCGAAAAATAATCGCGACAACCAATCAATTCTATTACTGCAACATACACCATTGCCCCTCCGGATATATTACTTGCCCCTCCGAGTAGTCTGAATACCGGCCTGACAGTGCATCAGGGGTGACCATGATTACCTTTTACGGTTATGAAAAAGGTTACCTCTGAACTACTTGTTTTGGCAACCTTCCTCCCCCAACCGCAAAACCGCCACTAGTAAGACTCCCAAAATAAGGAGCCAGCTTCGGTATCACTTGAATCGGAACCCACGAGGGGGCGGGGAGGGTGCGGGTTGTGGATTGATCAATAGTTGTTGATTAAACAATACAGATACTTAGTTTAGTGTCGATAACCGTCAGTGGGTTACAATATAACATAACTACCCAATTAACGCTCTGTATATTCATATTCAACAATCATACTGTCTTGACTATCTTACGGAAAAGTAGAACGATCGGTCCAAGGACACCGAAATTAACACTTTTGCATACAATTAACCGCACCAACTACGGTTTCTGATGGTTGGAAGACAATAGCCATTGATTGGCTATCGAGATCGCCATCAGCTAATTAACGACAATTGAATTAACACCTATTTGATCCGGAATCGGTGTCCTGCTGTTGAACGTCTGGGTTAAACTCTGAAATAGAAACGATTAACTCATTTTGATACGGACTAGCTAGAACGTTCACAGCAAAATCTCCGATAGAGCGTTGATTTTATTAATTCTGTTATCATTTTATGGATTAGCTGAATCTTGTTAGGATTAACAGTCTTTCGTGCCCACATCTTAAAGGTATGTTGTCCCTTTATTTTGTTCTCCTTAAAGATGTAATTCCTTATGAATTTTGGCTTTGGATTAATTTTTATCGAACAGTTTTGAGTTGATTATTTATGTTTGCGGTTGGGGTTCTGGCGACCTTGGGATTTGCAGTGGTTTGCGACTTGGGATTTGCGGTGGTTTTCCTTCCCAATCAGTATAACGTGAAATGCTGAACTTGACAGAGAAACGATTCACGAATAAAAAAACCATATCACAAATCATATTTCCATTTTCATGCTACAACTATGCATGGGTTTTTATGACTCATGCTAACTGACATTTGTCAACAAGAATTAACGTCAATTGGAAGAGATGGCAACATTTTCAGATAATATTCCGCTCTACCAAACTCCTTTTACAAATATTTTTTGGAAAAACCCGTTGCTTTGTTGAAGAAGGTCTCTTGACAGAACGATTTCGTCTCACTCCATTTGTTTACTTATTAAGATTATTCAATAATTCATAATTCTAAAAGAACTTATTAATCGAGGCTAGTAGAAATGATAGAATGTAAGCATCACTGGTTGATGTGGACTTCAAAAACAAAAGGATGAAGAATAAAAAGCATAAAAGACGCGATCGATTTGCTATGGCAATGAATGGGTTAAATAAATCAATTATGAATTCATAATATTGAGTTGTCATCGTTAGAAACAAATGTATCTATGTGTCATTGGATTTAACGTAATTCTCAAAATTTGTAGAGGTTAGTTTCCAAATTTTTGAAAGCTAGTTTCAACATTGTTGGAGGTTAGTTTCACAATTTTTGGAGGTTAGTTTCAACATTTTTGGAGGTTAGTTTCATAATTGTTTGGAGGTTAGTTTCACAATTTCATTTCAAAAGAGTGCTCCATCTAGGATTGTCATCATCTAGAAATTCATTTTGTCATCATTAGAAACAGTAGGTTCAATGTGTCATCGGATTTAGCGAAATTTTCGAAATTTTTGAAGTTCTGAGGGCACAGGCTATTCTATCAATATGTAAATTGGTAAAAATTTTGAAAGTGGGGGTGGGGGCAAATCCGGGCCATCCTCTTTTTCAAAAAATAAGGAAAACCATCTTTAAAATTCATTCTAAAGATCGCCAATTAAACGTTTTTTGTCCCTCACAAAAGTAAAAGGGGTATGTGCGCTTTAAGTTTAAAAAAATAACACATTTAGTGGTAAAATTTTTTAGTAGATTCTGTAAAATTTTGAAGCCCAGTAACGCCTTCAAGCATAGTTTTGGCACCAAACATCTAAATCAACACAGTCATATTATTTGTCATATGGAATTTATCACTAAAAATCGATGGAATCAATAGACATCATTAGTAAACATTAATAATGTAAACAATGTATTTATCTCATATCTGTAAATACACGAATATAACCTGTTTTCCCTCCAGGCATCGTTCAAGTTAAAACTTGGCTTGGAAATTTTCCAATTCTGGAATTCTTGTCATCTCCAGATATATTTGAAAGTTTCGGCAAAGATTGAGCCATTGTCTCTTAAGAGATTGTAAAGATATCGGGGACATTGATAGCATCAATTTGTACCCGTTCCAATTTCCAATCAGACGTCTGTAATGGCACTAAAACGTTGACGTCACTACCACAAATATTATTGTCAGCTATTTGCTATAGTGACGTCATAAAAGGCTTAGTTTTGAAGGAACTGAAATAGGCACAAACATCTGATTGAAAATGAGAATATCGCCAATCAGCGTCCCCGATGCATAAGTTTAGAATACCTTCTTACAACCCCATTAAAGTCAAAACAGTGCATACTATAACAATTGACGAAATTGGCTGCAGTAGTCAATTTCAGCTAGATCAATAATGCAAGAACCTCTTTTGTGTTGGTGATCATTGTAGTGTCTGCTTTACCGTCTTCATTAGCCGTCATGGTGCAGAAAAGTAGGACGTAAAACTCCATTCATTTCATTTGTAATGTCTGCTTTGACAAGGATCAGTTTGAATAACGAACATGTAGAAAATGCTTTTAAACATTTCAGATTCACAGAAACAATGAACGAAACCCAGTTGATGCAGAGACATGCCCTCTTCCAGAAGAGCTGGGTACAGAAGACCTGTTCCCATGGTAACAGAGATTCTCCTGACGGACAGAAACCTCTTGATCTGAGTCAGGTGACCTCCAGAATAGATAGTGGTCTGAGGAGAAGAGATCACGGTGTTGGAGATGCCCTGAAGGTCAGTATATAGGGCGGAGTGTCTGGCTGCATGGAAACTGCAAAACCCTTTCTTCCATTGAAGTCAAGGCTTCCCATCAATGTAAAACAATAACATTTTATTTTTGTATTGGTAAAAATACCAGTTGATCTCTGGCTTCACTTCTTTCTTCTCAATGGCCTTTCCCAGATTTAATACGTCCATGGAGGAATCTAGTGCATGCTCTTATCGTCATTTTTGTTATTCCAGTCTACGAGAATTCTACCTCCACTTCAAAGATGTCGGGTCTCGCCTTCACCAGTAGCGCCGCCTAGGTCTTTACATCGTAACCATGGTAACAAAAAACTCAACAGTGTCAACAGACCGTGGCGGGAAAAGGTTCCGAAACTGAGTGACAACACAGATAAACACATTGGTAGGTAATATACAGTCGCTTTGCCTGCTACAACACATGTATTGGTGTATCCTTGGTTATCCAGGTTCTGAATCCGTCAAAGCATGGGCCCAAATTGAAGTAAAAGAAATGTAAATCAAGGTCCTTCTGTGTGGTAATGGTCGACCCGTTTCTTAAAAAACCCATAGATTTAAATTGACCGAATTAAAACACAGGATGACAATCTTCTATTGATTATACCAAACACTATTTCGCAAAATTCTAAAATGCTTCAAAACTATAGAAGTTGCATCTTAGTCAATAATATTCATTTTTTCAGAGATTCATTATTCCAAGATAGCACCTAAAGATAAATGGATGGAGTATAAACCTAAACGTTATGTCGCTAACCCCAAATACGGTTCCATTTATGAAATAAGGTATGTACCTGAGCACGATTTATTCTCCCACTTTTGCGCAGGACTTAGAATGTCAAAATCCATTAACTGTACACCACATGCACATGATCCCAATAGCGCATTGTTAGACAAGAAAGCATAGCTAACTATCGCATAGTTACAGAACAATAATTTGTTACTCTCAACTGTATCTTCTGCATATGCCATAAGCCGCTTTGGAGATCATAACGTAAATTTAATGAACTTGGAGACTTCTGACATGCTATTTGTATTTGTATCTCAGTATTTTCAGAATATGTTTTTCATAATCTATACAAAATCTCAACGGACTGGAATGTTTGTGTACAATGACAACATGCACTGTAAAAGGAATAGGAAACATTGATAACTAAGATGGAATAATAGTCTCATTTAATCATAACATGTCTTAAGTAGATATTCGAAGCACATGATATCACTTCACATTTGCTTGTCAACCTATCTTCACTCTGTTTATACTGTATTGCTAATATGATTCGAGTCAATTTTGAATCCTTTATCATAGAAAAGATAAAACATCAAAGCCAGACCCAATACCCCCACCTGCAACATGGCTGTGGGAAAATGAGTATAAACTATGGAGACTAGATAAACTAAAAACACCACTTCCAACCAGGTAGGTCTTATTATCCTAACGTTATTTCATGGTATTTATTGCGTATTGGTGACATTAGGTGCATATTGCATTAATAACGGATAGCGCCATGTTGGACGTCACGTGATCGCCGCCTTTAAGGTTCTAAAGAACGCCAAACGTCAATGAATGTGATTAAATTTGTCAACGTAAACAATAATTTTTCCCGCTCTTCAGTACCTTAATGGCGGCCGAATGAAGCGACACCTAACGACAAGGGCGGATAACCGAATAGTACATCTGTACGAGAAAGGTCTATAGTTAAAACCATAGACAGTAAGAACTGGCTAGATCCTTCCTAAACTAAATTGTAAAATTTTCTAGATGTTTAAAAAGAAAAGAGATCACAGAACGAAAAGAAAGAAAAAACAGTGACGAGAGACCACATGCAGAACTATTTGCGTAAGTTGAACTCTTATACATGCCTCAGATTAAACTTTCATTAATCTCCAGAAGAAAACCGACATTTGTCTATACAAATAGCGGGATTAAAGACAAGATGTACACTTTCTGCACCGTACACTTAACCAATCTCAATGGTCCTATAGTCACAAATTTAGCTCAGTTAAAAGTTAACAAATGTCCATAAAATTCTGTATTGCTATCTGTTTGTAATATCGAAAGTTTCTGCATTGATAAATATTCCCTCAATGTGCAACTTCTGATTTGCTCGGATTCCTGTTTCCTACTGAGTTAATAAGGAATGATACTCTTTCAGGGCATACAATGCAGAACTACTTTTAAAACAAAGGCGACATGTTTGTGCAATAGAAATACAGCGACAAGTTCGAGGATGGTTGATCAGAAAGGCTATCAAGGAATTACGACACCAGGTAAATGATTGTTGCTTACCCTTCGAACACCTCTTGAGTCCACTCAGCTAGTCTATATAGTATGTCGATTCGCCAGTTCATAAAGTATTTTACATTTTTACGTTGAGAAAGCCCACAAATATCGTAAACAGTTCATTTTGTCCAATGGAGCGACCAGGAAGATGTTGGCTCTTTATGGATTTCCTTTTGTCTGGAAAATTTCTTTTTCAAGCTTATCAAGTAAAATGATGATTAATCCAAGAATAAGCACACTTATGATCAAATTTCTTAAAGAGGAACGTTCCCGTTTCAGGTGTTACGAGGATTGAGTATGACGTGGTGGGGATTTATCCAGGATTACAGAGAAACCATCATCAGGATAAAATCTAGATACGGTGTCATGGATAACTCTTGTAGATTCAACTTAAAGGAAGTTTCAGAATACGTCCATTTTAGGGAAAGTAAGTCAGAAGCAAAATTTTCTTTTTTGGAATACCAAATATATTGCCTATATATATTGTCATATAATGGGAAGCCAAATTGATGGACGTTACTATGAACCGTAGTTCATGGAAGAAAGAAACCATTGCTGATAAGTGTCTTGTAAGTAACCGCAACTGAAGCTTCGGAACTTAATTGACAAACTCACCTGTTGAAAATATAGAACGCGTTCGTGGCAAAGACTTCGGAGCTCATTGAAAGTAACCGCCTCTAAAAATAGATGGAGAACTACTCCTTCAGTGAACGCAACTGCTGCTTCGGACAGGATTATTATCACGCTCCTTTGCCTTCAGTATTATTTTTGTGTTTCCCATCCTGATTCCAGGCACATAGTCACACGGGATCGGACTTGGAGTGCTTTGGGTTTCTAAGAATTTCGTTTCTTTGTAGAATGTGAACAAGTGTTTCATAAAATGTCTCGATGGGAGAAAATGGAAAAATTGGATTTACCAGAATTCTTTCGGAGGTGTGATCTCTATCCTACTGAAGGGGACATAACTCGTGCCTTCAACACTATATTTAGAGGTAAGGACCGTTCTATTTTCTGTAATCATCATTATTTTCAGCAAATTGGGTAAGTAAACTCATTTACAGGGTACATGATGTTAACCCGTATTAATGGCTGGTGAGTCATACCACGCTCGACCTTCCACCTTCTAGGACACTTAATGTCTTCTACGATTGGCCCTGTATCAACTTCAGGACTAGAATGCTGCTAGCTACTTACTGAAATTAACGAACATTGGCCGAGGTTGAGCCGAATGCTACGAATGGGTTTGTCAATTCGGCATACCTGTTGGAGACTCCACAAGACTGATGGACAACTTAATCAACACTTTTCTACTTCCAGGTTCGCTAAATACAGCTGAAGTGGTCTTTGTGCTGGATTGTTCGGCAAGTTTCGGTCCAGTGAATTTCCAGCATCAGGTGAATTTTGTTAAAGATGTAGTCCAGGGTTTCGAGGTGGCTCCAGATAGAGTTCGAGTAGGTGTGGTGCCTTATAATGAAAGTGTGTTTCACTGTTTCGGACTGACCAAATTTAAAAACCTTGAAGAGGTCAAGAACGCAATGGGTAAGTTTCGTGACTTCCGGTTAAGTGATAACCGTTTACAAATTTTTGAGGATGAGTACTTGCTTAATCGTCTTCTGTGGCCTTCAAAGATCAGATGTGAATGATGATTTGTCTTTTCCCTCGCTTGAGTCTCCTCTCTAAGTATCTAAATTCTGCAACACATTCTGGCGAAGAAAATGCTCACACCAACGATCTTGATGATACTGATAGTTGACCGGATTCTTGTATCTACAGATGAGTTCACTTATGCGCTCCCATACCTGGCTCAAATCTTGAACAACTTGTGGAATGTGTAAACTTCCTCTGGGGTGGAATATTGTCGCTTTGCCGGTAGCACGTTACATTGTCCTGTGGAGTCGAATCCTCCTTAAACTTAGAAAATGCTTCTAGTCGCCGGTTTGGTGCCCTAACACCTAAAGAAGTAATCATCAGTGAGCCTAAGGAGGTGATCAAAAAAATATTGTGAATGTGAATTGTTTTTTTGATGAATTTTAGATTCGCTTCAGTTTAAAAATGGATTAACAAGAACTGACTTAGCTCTGAAGATGATGAGGCAATTATTCAAGGTACATTGTAAATAAAATACTCCCTCGTGTGAACGCCCTAAAAGAAAATAATGATGACAAACTCAAATATTAAGTGTTACTAGGCTTTCTGAAGAAATATCATACGCAATAAAACTTGCTTTCAGAAATGAAATGAACGGAGTTTTTTGTCCTACTTCTCTGCACCATGTGGGCTAATGAAGACGGCTTGTTTTCAGAGAAAAGTACAACAATACAGTGACTTCAAGACCATTTCTAAATTTTTCGTTTTCTTTCATTTTTTTATTCCATTGTTTAAACAGGGTTTTGGGAATCAAAATGTGGAATGTGTAAGAAAACACAGAACGAAAATATATTAAAAATTGAATAATCTGCAAGACTTCAACCCTTGTTTTTGTTAATTTTAGTCTTCGCGACCTGGTGTTCAGAAGATCGCGGTGATTTTAACAGACGGGAAATCCCCCGATCCTGATGGTACCAGACGCGAAGCGAGATTAGCACGTGATGAAAATATTGATATATTTGCTATAGGTAAGAGAACTTTGAGCATGCCCAATGGACACTATAATAGTGGAAGGTTACGGAAGGAGTGGGGGGGGGGGACTTCAAATTATGAAACGAGGGCTATTTTCACTTAGTGATTGGCATTTTTTTTTATTATTTAATGTGTAAGTTCCTCGGATTTCTAAGACATTCATTGCATCTCGGTAGCAAAGTATAGAGTAGGTTTTCGATGTGTCCATATACAAATGTGTATTTTTTTTAGGAGTTGGTCACACGGTAGATAAAGAACAACTAGAATATATTGGTGGAAGTCCAGACCACGTTAAAATATGTACAGATTATTCATGCCTTAGTCAGTTCAGAAACCTCGTCCACGATCGTATGTGCATGGGTAAGTTCTTTGGTCTGTGGCGTCTAACACCGAGTTACCTCTATAATCTAGTCCTAGCACTTGAAAGTATAATTCAGCACTTAAGCATCCCACCGTATCGCTCACAATTAAACCAGCAAATCCAGCATTTAGCACGCATACACCAACAAGATAGGGAAGCCCCTTAGTTCATGAAAACCCGTGCGCTGAAACGATTCTGTAACTATTTCAGTGTGTTGTGCCTTCTGTCATCAAATGTTACCACGCATCCAGAAGGAAGGCCTGTACAAATCCGAGGTGATGGACATCGTCTTTACTCTATATCCGCCGCAAGCAACAGACATCGACCCATCCATTCACCATCTTAGACCAGCGCCATTATTATTTTCTGGTAAATAACTTTACTTATTATCTCCCTTTCATTAATAGGAAGTGACCAGGCTGATGGGAAATCAAGGCAGATAACTCCGGGAATATTAGATGTTTGTCGCCCTTTGAATAAAAGGGAGGTAATTGATATATTATTGACGGTTTATCCACCGGAAGCTACAGATTTAGATGCAAGACCTTCGAGATGGATTCGTCCTATTGTTGATGGAACCGAGGCCTGGTCACTTTTTGGTACGTTTGTAAAATATCAAATGAATTTCACCCTCGAAATGTTCGAGTAATGTAGTCCAATTTAGTAGCGAGTGCTATCAGGTGTTCTAGAGAACTTTGATGTTGTCTTGCTCTTTGAACCGTGTACTAAAGCAAAGTACCACAGCCTTATTTTCAAGAGACGACCGTTCACGTTAATTTTGTATTTGAATATTTTGAATTTTGACATTGTAGTATTTTTATATGCGTTTTACATATGCATTCATATATTCCAGATGATGAAATTCTCCAGCGGACAGACTACAAACAATGTTTAAGGTTGGTGATACAGGCAAAGTTAGACAGAGATGGGGTCATGGACATACCAACAGATCTCAAGTGGGGAGTGGAACAGGTGTCCAACATCGAAGAAGCTTTAGAGAAGGTCGAAGCATACCTTCAATTAAAAAAGCAACAGCGCATTGAAGGGGAAGATTTAGACAAAGGAAGGGTTTCCGATGAGAAGCTTTTGGAACAGAAGGAAGAATTTGATAAAGACGCTGATGACAATGCTGGTTCACGAAACACAAAGGCCAATATGGGTGATTCTGAGCTAGGGATCAAAGAGACGGGTTGTGAGTTTTCGAATCCTAAAAGAAATTCCAGTGATGAAGGATCAAATCACAGCATTTCTAACTTCGACCAAAATGACCAAAGAACAGTGAACATCGAAAAAACGAAGGATGAGAACATCGAAAATATTAGGAACATCACATCGAGAACACAATCCCCAGATCAATCACCGTCTGATCAAAATCCACGACCTGGACAGACCAATATTTTACGCATTAACCACGAAGAAGACCCAAACCTTGTTCAATCCAGCTTACAAGTTTTAACGCTCAATCATAAGGACAATACTGAAATTCTGAATGTTCGTGAACACGGGACGACCCGAAGGACACTGACGTTAAACAGTGATCACAAGTATTCCAAAGAGTTTCGAAGGGGTTGGGTGGGAAACAAAAACGCGAAAGATATTCCAAGCCCACCGATTGGAGATGAAGCAAATCCATCCGAGGAATACAGTGAAGATGACAAGTATCAAACATGGGTTGGACCAAACCCTTTCATAAACCGAGAAGCAGGTGATATTGAAAATCCTGAATCTGAAAGAAGGCGAGAGATGTTTGAAGACACTAGCTACTTCACATGATCTGGTCAATCAGTGACGACGCAGTGGATGTAAAGGGGTGCATTTGAAGACGCTCTAGAAGCTTCAGAGATTGAGGTTACACTGCTAAACCTCAAAACATCAACAGGATCCATCAAAGCTCCTGTTGATCATGTATTTGATTGACATATTGTGATATTTGATTGACATGTTATGATTTATTTGACACATGTTATTTTTTTATTAATATATTTTGACCAATTTGATTGGCATGTTTTTGGAAAGGTTTTGAATTATTTGATTGACTCTGTGTTTGAAAGATTTTGACATTTGATTGACATGTTTTGCTTTATTTGAGATATTTTGACGTCTATTGTATGACAATATATTTCATTACAATTTCGTTTCTTTCTGGGATATTTCTTTGTAATCTAACAAGTTTTCTATCATTAATAAAACCATTTCTTCCCTAAAGGTGACATACTCTTTAAATACACTGTTCACTCATCGTTCACAAGAAAATTGCAAAAAGTGGGATAACAACTAAGGTTCGTGGTGATCCTTACTACCAGTCGGTCCTTGGTCAAACCTCTTGTCATTTATCTTTCCCGGATTATCAGTATCAGTACCCATTTACAGCTTGGTCGACTGGAATCAAGAGTAAAGAAGACCAATTTAATGGCATTAGACTTTCACGCGGCGACCACGATCAGAACCATGGACCACTATCTATTAGAGGGAAATACACCTGAATAATAAGATTCTGGGAAAGGGTCAATGCCACGAGGTTTGGCCTGGTAGACAGATACCTAGTGACTCAAGGGGCATCGTCAATCCTATTGTGATGTCAACAGTGGTATAACGTCGTCATATCCAGTAGAGAACTTGTATCGGACGTTTCGCCTCAGAGACAAGACACTTATAGGTTGGCGTGAACTGTGAAAGGTAAATTATTGTTGACAAATGTAATGGACAGCTCTTCCCATGGTGCCGACGCGTGTTTTGGATAAACCATCTGCCTCAGGACGGATGCAATGGTAATGGCACATAAGCTAAACAAACCATCTCAGTCATACTTTTGGTGGGACTAAATGATAATTTGATATATATTTTAGGATTCTATCTACTGAGCTGGGGAGTTCTGGCGAACCCTAGCACAGAAGTCACTAAATTCCATTTTTTCCTGACCTGAGAGAATTACCCCAAGCCCCATTTGTGGGTGATTTCTAACAAGGAGAATGCCCTCAAGATCCGTTTTTAGTACCCTTTTTCATTCCGAAGGACTCTGTCTTTATCACAGAGTCTCTAGTTTCAAATTCGTTAAATTATATTCCAGAATGAACACGAGTTCCGATCTGTCAAGTAAGTCCGAAGGTGAAACTGCTACTAAGGCCAGATCTAGTAGTATAAACTCACCCGAACGATCGAGTTTAACGTTGTCATCGCCTCGGATTCCGGGGCGGGACCAATCAGGGGCAAATCCTATGCCTGTCAACGATAAGCGACCCTATGTAGCCAGGGATAAGCATAAGCAAAGTACTGACACTACAAACCACAAAGCGGATCTAAAGATAGAAAAGGGGTGTCTTATGTCGGCAACCAATGGCGACGAAGTGAGGTTGCCAAAGCCACCAAAAGCGGAAGTAGGACAAGACGCCGGAGTCAGACGATCGGAATGCTTCAGGAACTATCTCCATACGTCTGCAAATGAAATCCAGAGATGCCAGGCTTCCTTGCAGAAGTCCTTACATAATAAAACTTTAAATGTTGCCTACATAAAATACCTGGAGAAAAATCAGGAAGCCCTGAACAAGGCTATTGACAATTTTGAAAAGAGGAAAACAAACGTAAACCGTCAGCTGCGAGACGAAGAACGAGTTTCGTCTAGAACGTCCAAAATGAAATTTCTACACAGATTGTCTAAGGTAGGTGGGTAGGCTATCTTCAGCCTTATTCTAAGAATACGAAGCTAATACACACTTTGTCTCCAATAGTCACAGTTTGTAAATGTAGCTATTTGATTGGATTGTACGCAAGCCACAATGTGCACAGTCTGTCGAGGTCTCTGATTGGCTGTATTCGTTAGCGAACAATCCAATCAAATCCATAATACATGACTGGTGGCTTTTGCATTCAAGGTATACGTACGAAGTTCGTCAACTTTGTAACAGCTTGACATTGTGAAGAAGAGAAACACAAGTAATTTGAGGGTATACTTCTACGAGTGACTGGTAAAGCGACTACATCCTCCCGCTGATTTCCGTCTAGACCGCAACTTTTGCTTATATTCTAGCCTGGGATACGGACTAACTTCCTATAAAGCATTTTCACTGTTGTCTATGAAACACAATCCTTAGTAACTAGTAATTTTCTTTTTTAAATTTCAGATGTTCATCAAAAATCGAGAGATAAAATCTCATAACTAAAGACTAATTTCAGTAAATTCTTTAACTTTTTCAACTTTAGTGTGTGTTGGTTTGATTTGCCATCTGGTTCCATACAAAAGATGGGAGTCACTTTTGACAAACCAACCCTTTTTTACAGTGTCTCCATCATGAATTAGGATTGGATGTATGAGGTTAGATGTTTCGAACTTCAACATTAAAGGCATTGTAAAGAAGAATTCTAAATTTCATATGCGTATAGGGGACACTGATAGCATCAATTTACACCATTCCATTTTCAAACAGACGTCTGCGTTTCCTGTCATTCCACTACAACTTAGTGTTTTATGACGTCACCCCTGCAAAATTTGCTTCATATCACCTCATAAAACACTGAATTGCAGGAACCACAGATGTCTGATTGAAAATTGGAATGACGCAAATTGATGCTATCATTGTCCCTAATACACATACAAAATTTATAAAACCTCTTTACAATTCCTTTAAGCATTACTGAAACTGCTCTGGTCCAGTGGAGTTTGGATAAAGGGGGGGGGGGGGGATTTCTGGCCCACCATGAGAGAGCATGAAAATATAAGAAATAATAGATAAAAGTTTATTTACAAAGTTTTATAAAGATATTTTCAACATTCCTGCTTGTCATTTGCTGTAGTTCATCTGTAAGTCCTTGACATCTGTACATATGCAAATTATTTCAACTTTGACCTTTGACCTAATTTTTCCACAACATATTTTTGAAACATATTTTCTTTCCAAATTCAAGTTGAATTTGCAAAACTTTTACTTAAGACTGCAAGGATGTCAAGCAATGTCTTTTGTTCATTCATTCACAAATTGTCCAATGATCACATGATGTTGATTAACCAATAAGAATGAAGGATGAGGATGACATACAAAAGGTGAAGGTCACTGATAGTAAAGTTCAAGGTTCATTCCATCATGTATTTCATCTAATTAAAGGATTAAGGAAAATGATATTGCACAATAAAAATCCAAGAATATGGCTTGACATAGTCAAAATAAATTTATCGTTCCATTTTTGGTGGCTTTAAAGGGATGGTTTACTAAAATTTTGATATGTGTTGGGGCCATTTATGGCTTACGACAATTAGAACAGAGCAAATCAACGATATCAGTGTCTTCACCACATTCAAATCTTTTCAAAAACCTCTTTCTAATAAAATTTCTTAAAATATTCAACATGAAAATACAACGTATAGACCTTACCCTAATTTTTGGATTTAAAAAAAAAAACATCCCAATTTTCTAATAAAAGTAAAATATGTTACCCAAAGTTTTGATTTAAAATTGAAAAGGATACAGTCTCCCACTGTTATATGGTCTTTAAATATTGTGTACCTGAAAAAACAAAAGAAATCAACAGAATATTGTTGAATAATTGGCTAAAATAACACAATAAAATTCAATAAGAGTCATTAACTAATGAGTAATTGATCCTGCAATTTTGCATGACTTGTTCTTATGTATTTTTCAATTCTTTGTGACACAATATGCAAAAAGGCACATGTTTTTGAGCCCATGATGCCACTTAATGATTCACAAGCGAATAATTTGCAATCTGAATCATCTAGCTATCTTACCATTTTTTAAGAACTATTTTATCTGCTCTGGTTCCAGTCTGTGCTGATATTAATTTCTTTAAATCACCAATGGTATCATCTATGCTAATATTGGGTTAAGGAATTTTTTCAACACAAAAAAAAAAATAGTAACACAGGAGTTTTAAACTGGTATCAAAATAATTTTGTCATAAAAAATAGTTAAGCAACACTAAACTGAAATTCACCTATATTACCAATCAATTGTCCAAATTTGTATAGTCCTGATCGGACAAATGTCATACAGTGTGTAATGAGGAACATTTTGTCAGGACAGCATCATTGGCCTACGGTCTGATTTCCTCCCTGAAGAAGTTAATTTTAACATGCTCAGCCTGTAGCACACACCGGCACTGTTGCAGTTTCGACCCCTTTTCCTTCCCGTTGAGCTATCGATTTGAAACTTGGCAGAGGGGTACTTATATATGTCCTGAATATTCACAGCAAATTTCAGACAGTTCCAACTTTTCCTTCCATGGAAGGAAAAGGGGTCGAAACTGCAACAGTGCCGGGGAAACATGGGTTTGAATTCTGGACCTTCAGCGAAGAAGAACTTACAGTTCCTATGTGCAACCCTGTCTCCCACCCAAAAATCTATTCAAATGGATACTTGCACTTCACTCTAACTTTTTTCCCCAATCTGTCATTACAAGTTATCTCTAGCATTTTGATTTCTATCAAGAGTTCACTTTATGACCTGAAAATGAAAGGAAATTGAGTTGTACATCTTACTTTTGTTCTCCATGCCATGAATCTAGATTAGCCTACTAAGGGCAGGGCAGTGTGCAAATTATGTTACCCTGATGTTGCTAGCTCATTTTGGCTATTTAATTCCAATTTTTTTACCTATAGGCTAATGATCGTGACGAGAAGGTAGCTTACGACATTGTGATCGAACATCCATTGAAGCATAGATCCATTCCATGCCCAACCACCCCCACCCCTCCTTTTCCCTCTCAATATTTCAACCCATTTGTCATTATTTTCGTGTTCAGTTTACTAGGATAGCTGAAACGTTTAAGTCAACTCACAAAAGGAGATAAACGCAATGAATAACAAATTTCGCATTAGTACATGGAAAATGCTCACGTTTTGTTTTGACCGGAAGTTGCTATCCGACATGTGGGGCTACGGTTTTAAATAAAGGCACATTTTCGTATTTTCTTTATTTGGAAGAAAATAATTTGAAATTGAAATATGGTTTTGATAATTCTTCCGTAAGCCTATGTCATTCATCTATAAATGTAGTTCGTCTGCAGCAGACATGCACAATGAATAAATATTGAATGTGAAACAGAGTAATTTCCCCTTAGTAGCATAGTGATGCTTGTAGTAAAGCCTTTCTATTGAGGACAGTATGTACTCGTTACCTCTACATTAAAGACACTTCGGACCAAGCTGCTAATCCAAGAGCAACTATTGATAGAATGCATTCATAAGACTATCTAAGCCAACCCTCAATCTTAAGTAATGTCCAGAGTAATATTTAATCAGAACCTCTATAATAAGGACAGGTTTCTGTCAAAGATTTCAATGATTGCAGATCGAAAATTTGGAAATCATAAAAATGGATAATTTGTAACAAAATAGGAACACTTTTAAGTTAACATTTTAATGCATTCAAAGACTCTTTATGTACATTAGTTACAAAATTCAATTTTGAACAATTGTGAAATGACAGAAAAAATTCAATTCAGAAACCAGTGGTCAGAAAGTACATAAAATCTTTTTAAAAAATGATTACTTGTTCATTTCATAAGGCAAATAAGTTAGGAAACAACATCCCTTTTCTCAAACTTAATATAAAAAAAATAAACAGATCCAAACTTTAAAAAACAACTTCTATTAGAATACTTTTCTTAAATCTTTTAAGTAATAAACTTAACATAACAATATTAAAAAAAAAAAAAAAATGTAATTGAAAGGAAAAAGACCCTATGACTTTTAGGTCCTGTTATATAAATGACTGCGCAGTATGAAGTGACACCTGGTGAGCCCCGGCAGAAGTAACACTGCAGCTGCTGGCTCAAAAAGTAGACAGACGGTACCTGGCAGCAATAGCTGGCGGTTAAGACGCTGATTTTCGGCGGCTTACAGGTTTAATCCAATCCAATTGCTGCATTCTGTAATACAAGAAAGGTGATCATTGCAGTCAAGGTATAAGTCTGCAATAACTTGACATTGTGAACATGCAATATGCCTTAAAGTTGATCAGTTGAAGCCAAAAAAAAAAAAAAAAATACAAGTTAACATTTGGCTTATTACAAGCACTTAGGTGAACAGACAGACAGGAGAGGGTTGGAAAATGTAACAAGTTCCCACAAAAGAAAAAAAAAACACATTACTAAGATACAGCATAAGAAAAGTTACCTTCTGTAAAATCATATTTTCCAAATACTAATTTTTCAATGGTTAACATTTTCATCAACTTAAAGACAATCTAAGACTCTCAGTAGTATTTGGGAGTTGATATTTCAACTCATACAAAAATAATTGGCAAAATGTGACTATGTAAACATTGTGTCAGGACAGTGTTACCTGTATCACTTATAAGAATGGCAATCTGACTTCCCTTAAGATTAAAGGGTAATAGTTGTTAAATATTTCCCATACAAGCAAATCTGTATCACTTATAAAAATCAAAATCCAACAATTTGTATCGTAAGGAATCAGTAGGAATATTTTATCCATTGTCTATGCTACAGTTTTTCTTAGTTTGTTAAGGAACTAAATTTCCAATTTAAAACCTGAAAAAAGTTACAGATAGTTGAAATTGAGATTGAGCTCAATCAGCTAGTATCACAAATATTTCGAAACCACATCCCTTTAACAAACAATTATCAACAACAAAAACAATGGAATTACAAACAAAAAACGTCTTAGGTACCAGTACATATATATATGACAAGATAAGAATGATAAGGAATAATCTTTTTTTTTAATTTACTGGCCTGCTAAATTGGACAGAGGAAAAAACAGAGGAAATTAGCACAAAAATGTGAATTCATTTTCAATTATCTCAAACATTGAGGAGAAAAACCTTGACCCCTTCAATGCCCTTTGAACCCTGGGTGTAAATGAAATAAAACGTCATATACATGTACCTTAAACTCCAAGTAATATAATACAGTATAAGTAAATGCTATGACGTCAACGTTGTGTGACGTCACTTAGTGATGTATGATGAGTAAATGTGATGCTGGTAAACTGGCCACTAGGGTTGAAAGGGATTATAAAGAGATTTTCTAAATTTTTTGTCGGTAACATTGATAGCACCAACTTGAATTTCGAAATTCCTAAGCACCAAATTTCATGAAAAAATTAAGAGTTTTAACCAATCAGAAATGTCCATGTATGTACTTTTTGACCTTTCTTGATCGGCCACTTACTGGAATTCTGCTGGAAATTCTCTTCTAATTTAGCTAATTATGAATTAATTATGGACATGTGAGACAAACTGGTATTTTTTCAAGTCATAAGAAAGCCTCTACTTTCTATTCATGTAAGTATTAGCATTTTTATTTTCATACATGAAAATAAGGGAACCCATCTTTAAGCCTGTTATGTTAAACAGAATTATGTCCCTTTGAACCTCATTCAACTCATGTAAAATAAAGAACATAGCATTTGATTGGTAGCATATTCAACATGATTTTCTTATAAATGTCTTCAGATCATGGTTATAGTACCACAGAAAATGTGAGAAGGAAAGGCACACACAATGATCACTATTTCTGCACTCTTAGTGCCTCAACCAGTCGTTGATGCCTGGTGGCAGAGTCTTCAGAGGTAACACTTGAGGAAGAGGAATCGGAACGATGTCGCAGGAATTGCAACTGTCTCTGCAGTTCATTTATATTGGGCAGTTCCTTATTACGATGATTTGATCTTGAGGTCTTTGGTGAATCTTGAAGAGTAGATTGGGACACATTTGAGTTATGTTTGATGCTGGAAAGTTCAGGAGTTGGTGATCCAATGGAAGAGTCCATGGTTGATATGGATGACGTGGACATGCTCTGTTCCTTGGACAATGTAAACAATGGCAAAGCTCGTGAAGCACGACCTAATCTCTGAGGCGTTGGAATTTCTCCGTAATCATGTTCATCGTTTTCTTCCGAGGTGGCACCGTTTGTGTAGAGTTTGTCATAGATGCTTTCTTCGTAACTTTTTTTCTTACGCTTGTCTGGATAGTGACCAGCTGGAAGAAGAGTTATGCCCATTAAATGATTATTTGAGTCTGCTCCTAATTCACGACGCACGAATGAAAATATATTTTCCGATGGAAGAGTAGGTGTGTTCATTACAGCTTGAGTGGAAATCTGCTGCATGAAGACACTGTCTGATAACTGTGGAACTTCTGGGTTTTCTAAAGAATCTGATTCCGAATCTTGGGAGGTACCGTCACTGTACTTGTCTGTGATTGGAACTCTTTCAGGAATTTTCACTGGCTTTGGAACTGGTTTGCAAATCATCTCTTCAACCATTTCCTTTTTTGGTTTCTCCACTTTAACAGGAGATATTGGTTCAATTTTTTCAATGAAAGGAGCTCTGGTACTGCCTCGATTCTCTGGCTTATTTTTTGCATGCCATATGGAATCTTTGGATCCCAAAATTTTCGGATCAGAAATCACAATCCTTTCTTCTCTAAATCCATGCCGATCTTTCAATCGTGGTCGATTTTTTCGTTGTCCGTAATAATATTTCATGCGTTTAGTGAGATCCGCTACAAAGTTTGGTAGATGCTGAAAAGCAATGGGCAGCAAATGACGTTTGCTTTGAGACTCTTTAGCCTCCTTGTCAGAAGAGTTCCGGACGTAAGTCAAATAAATTTCCACACCAGCTTTGAACTCAACCATCATTTTCTCCATGAGAATCATGCGTAAGTCCAATAAATGCTTGACGTGCTTCGAAGCGGCATCCAACAACCATCGAGGAGCAGGTCTCTCAGCCCAAATTTCTTGATCTTCAGACTTGGCTTGTTCACGAATTCGAATGATATGGATCTGTTCATCAGGAAGATCTAAATGTTCATACAGACACGAAGCAAGACCAGGTACATAACGTGGTAAATCCTTTCGATTTTGTTCACGATAGGCTAAAGCATGAGCTACTTGAGTGTCAAAGATATTCAGCATTTGAACTCTGAATTGATGATGGAGTAGGTCAGAGATGAGACGACAGTCATGAACGACTTTCAAAATGGATTCCGACTGAATGATGTTTTTCAGACCTTGTTTCAATCCGTCAGTGCCAAGATTCAACATGTCGAATAAAAATATGGAACCACCAGCATCAATTTGGATCCAGCACAACTTTCCCTCTCTTCCAATGTCTATACCTTCCGCAGCAAAACCAATCGTCGGCCTCTCAGCAATGAATTTAATGGCTTCGTGAAACAGGGCATCTGTTTTAGTTAAAACTGTGAACTCTTCTGTGGAATAGCTGTCCTCAACTTCACTGCTTGAGTCATCATCAGAACCTCCTTCTTGAAAAACCGTTTTTATCAAATCCTCATCTTCTACAGATGCTCTCTGCTTCTGCTTATCTGCACCAAATACCAGCTTTTCATGATCCAATTCTATAAAAGTCTTTAGATGGTTGGGGACATATTTAGAATGTTTCACATTCCGGCCTCTCAATCTGTCATTCTTCTTCTTGTCAGGAACTGTACTGGCATCAGTTTCCGGTAAAATTTCCAGCTCTTCTATGAGACTTGCTTGGATACGTTGCACTCCTGGCAAACGTGTTTTGTTTTTAGATTCACCATTTTTCCTTATTTCTGCCTTTGACAGAGCTACAATGCTATCTTCCTCGTTAGTGTTGATGGAATTTATGAAGCCAATCAGTATGTCATTGTCTTTGAGTTTCAATCGGATCCTGGCACCGGAATAAATATCCATATTACTGGAATTATTGATAAAATTATTAAAAGACCTTTCACAAACCTCGCGGAAACTTTCACTTCCGCATTTTCGATTACCCAGTCTTTATTCAAGAAAAAATACGGATTGGCGTGCGGACTGGAATTGGAATAGGAACCACTCTTGCTGGATATGAAAGGGATTCGTTGTCAAATATTAATGATTTGTAAACAAGACGTCAATTATAGTAGGCCTATATCCATCGGCCCCAAAAATGGTCACAAAAGTTAAGACGAAGTGTCAATTGGAAAGTTAACGGTAGTTTCCGTGAATTTTCGTATTATAACAGAAGTTAATCTTACAACTCTCAACTCGAACTAACATCAAGAATGTAAAGTCAAGAAGACATAGTCTAGTTAATTAAGTTCTGCAAAAATAAAGAATTCTGGTACTGGTGAGCTACAGCTGTTCATTTTGATAAACTCATCTTCACAATGTCAAGGTATTACGAATTCGTTATAAGACAAAGCGTAATACCTAGAAAATTGCTAAGATGTGTTTTATCAACATTATTATTATTATTATTATCATTATTAATGACTTATCGTTTTCAACGACGTAGCCAACATTAGAATTTTGTGTGCACCGCTATTACCAGACTCTGTAGAGCAATCTGTGATTTTAATGGAATCCATTAAGAGACGATATCATCATCATCATCATCAGCATCATCATCATCAGTATTATTATTATTATTATTTTGCCTTATGGTTTTCAACGGCGTACATTTTGTGCGAACCGCTCTTCCCAGACTCGACTCAGCAATCTGTGATTTTAATGGAATCAATTAAGAGACGATAAATAAACCTATTGTTGGTTTAAGATGGATGAATAACCATTGTTTATTAAATTCAACCAGGCTTCAAATTAGCTTCATGCTATCTTTAATTTCTCCTTCCGCCGCCATTACTTCAATCGATTATCGTCATCAAGGGACGCAACTCTTCCAATGTCACCCTTACTGAATTTGTTTGAAACCAAATCGCCGTGACATCGTCTTAAATGAAAAGCTAATAGAAACCTCATCATGCCGTCAAGTGCTTAATTTCCCGAAAACATCAGAAGAAATTTAGACTCTGAGATTTTCCAATTAACTAACCATCATATTGAACGCTTTTTGAAATGGTTTGGAGTCTTTCTAAAGACAGTATTTGGTTGCCTGGCAACTAGTAATGGTGGTGTGTGGTTGCCGACCAATTTGACAATTGACGCACTTTCAAATATAATATTCGATTCCTCAAACGATCATATTAATATTTTAATTGGCGAATTTCGTCAGAAGATGGTGACAAGAGATCAAAGGTCATCGTTTCGAATTAATTTTCACCTTACCCTTAGTAATCAAATTCCTTTAGGCTTAAATGGATGCGGTTACCATATTTCCGCCATTTTGATTTTTCGACATGAAATCATCGAAGGATTTTATTCTGAAAATTCAATATTTTCCGGATATCTTCTGCTCTAGTGATATTACCGGGATTCCTAGGTACCTTAGTGCCAAAATTTCGTCCAGAGAATATTTATATAGTTGTGTTTGTGCTGATTTTGTGCTAATGCTTATAACCCTGGGTTGACTCATATATTCATGATGTTATTTAGGCCTATAAATGAATTACTAAAGCGGACAAAATAGTACCAAAAAGTTATATTCCCTACCTTGACTTTAATTACAGGTGGACGCTTTCATCTTACCGACACTTACAAACTTCAAAGGAAATTGACAAAATGCCGACATCATGTTTTGACAGGGAGCAAATGGTGAAATTAGTTCGTTATTTTCCACGATTTTGTAGGCAATGATCACTTCAAGAGTCCTTTCCTGAACAAAAATAACATTTTGTTTAGGGGAAGAATGAATTTGCTTCCATGTAGGCTAAAGCAAAAAGCTTAGGCCTATGTGTCCAGTTTGTCCACAGGGGCCGTACGATTCCTTTTGGACACCTTGTTATTTGCTATATTCCACAAGCTACTTTACTACATGCTTTGTGAATACGAAATATAAAGAAATAATAAGAAGGCCTATGTGACGTCATTACATATGTACAGAAGTTGAGACGTCACTTCTCACGACAAAAGCTTAAAGAAAATTATATATATTGAACTACTTATATATCAAATTCTTTCCATCTCCATTCTTGCATTTTCTACATGGAGAATCTGATACATCAGTCCTAGAAGTCGATCGAAAATCACAATCGAAATTATAGAGGAAAAGAATATGGTAGAGAATGGCAGATTGGAGTAAAGCCGAATATAAATATTTTTGTTTAGGCCTAGTGTGTTTATTGAGAGTTAATAAGCGACAAGACTTTATTAAAAATTTGTGAAAAATATTTTGAAGCTATGAACCCTTGTTAGTTAGTACAAATGTTTGTATTTTATTAGTCGAGGAACAATAAACTAGGGGTCGATAGTACTAACACCTGAAGTGGGGGCTGAAATCGACAACTCAATTAGTTTTTCGTCTTAATACAAAGTCGAACAAAGCCCATTTCCCTTTTATTAGTCCAAAGAAAGAAATAATGAACTCGCTTTAACCGACTGCATGTATACTGTCAAGCGGGTTCAGTCAATACCTTTTGTGCCTCCTTCAATAGAGAATAACAATCAGGGGCGATAATCCCCCATTTAGAACAGTAATTTTAATAAAATGACGGTTGTACTTGTTGTTAACAGCAAATCATCCGATACACAGCTTGTCAATTCATTCTAAAAATCGAATAAATTCCCTTTCATTCATCGAGCCGAGTCGTCTGCTCCTCGATCTGAATGTAAGTCATGTGACTTTATTATTCGCCATCTTGAAATATGAACCAATCAAAATTACACACTTAACGCATATCCCACTATTTGGGCTATGATGTTCAAGAGTGATGAACGTAAGCTTTACGTTTCTTGCTCTCGCATTTGACGAAACTTTCCAGATCCCGTGAATCCGCAATCTGTGTTGCAAGTGAAAGGAAATCTCAAACCTAATCCCCTAGTGAAAGGACAGAACTTGAATATTTTTGACACCCTGCAGAGTTTGTTTTATCAACGCCGAATTTGTCAAGAAGTAAACAAACATATGGCAAAATTAATAAAAGCCACGACGATGTTATAAACTACTACTCTTGAGCATTCTGGCGTTATTAATTTGGCATCAAAAGTGTTATTTTGTTACTAAAAAGGTGTTGGCTATACATGTATGAAATTGACGAGATGGCAAACCCTAGCGTAGATTGGGATCGAGGTGATCAAGTGATACTTGATGGAGACAAAAGAGACATCTTCTAATTTCTAAATTAAACTTAAAATCCCCACTCCACCCAATAATAAAACACAAAAATATAAACCCAATGTGTGAAAGCCCCATCCCCCATTTTCATTTACTCGTCTAAATTTTCTTATCAATAAATGCAGACAAAAGTATTTAAAAATTAAGATCGCTAATTAAAGAATATACATTTATCAAAAAGATACAGAACATGTTGGTGCCAAGAGAAGTGATAGAGACGAGAGCAGTGTTGTTGGTGTCTAGAGAAGTGATAGAGACGACAGCAGTGTTGTTGGTGTCTAGAGAAGTGACAGAGACGACAGCAGTGTTGTTGGTGTCTAGAGAAGTGATAGAGACGACATCAGTGTTGTTGGTGTCTAGAGAAGTGATAGAGACGACAGCAGTGTTGTTGGTGTCTAGAGACGTGATAGAGACGACAGCAGTGTTGTTGGTGTCTAGAGAAGTGACAGAGGCTACAGCAGTGTTGTTGGTGTCTAGAGACGTGATAGAGACGACAGCAGTGTTGTTGGTGTCTAGAGAAGTGATAGAGACGACAGCAGTGTCGTTGGTGTCTAGAGAAGTGATAGAGACGACAGCAGTGCCGTTGGTGTCTAGAGACGTGATAGAGACGACAGCAGTGTTGTTGATGTCTAGAGACGTGATAGAGACGACAGCAGTGTTGTTGGTGTCTAGAGAAGTGACAGAGGCTACAGCAGTGTTGTTGGTGTCTAGAGACGTGACAGAGACGACAGCAGTGCCGTTGGTGTCTAGAGACGTGACAGAGACGACAGCAGTGCCGTTGGTGTCTAGAGACGTGATAGAGACGACAGCAGTGTTGTTGATGTCTAGAGACGTGATAGAGACGACAGCAGTGTTGTTGGTGTCTAGAGAAGTGACAGAGGCTACAGCAGTGTTGTTGATGTCTAGAGACGTGATAGAGACGACAGTGTTGTTGATGTCTAGAGAAGTGATAGAGACGACAGCAGTGTTGTTGATGTCTAGAGAAGTGATAAAGACGACAGCAGTGTTGTTGGTGTCTAGAGACGTGATAGAGACGACAGCAGTGTTGTTGGTGTCTAGAGAAGTGATAGAGACGACAGCAGTGCCGTTGGTGTCTAGAGACGTGATAGAGACGACAGCAGTGTTGTTGATGTCTAGAGAAGTGATAAAGACGACAGCAGTGTTGTTGATGTCTAGAGAAGTGATAGAGACGACAGCAGTGTTGTTGGTGTCTAGAGAAGTGATAGAG